TTAAAAACATATTTTCCCTGTTTCAATTGATTACCATGAAGTCCAGGGGAGAAAACGCAAAGAAATGACTCCACATTGTTGGCCCAATAAAATGTGTAAAATATTGCTTGATTATGATTTCCCTACCAATGAGCTTGTCGTCAGTACGTTATTGCATTTCCAACGATCCCTCTCTCTCTCATAGGCAGGGAGACTGGCATTATCATTACAAATTGATTGAGACCGTTTTTATTTGGTCTTTTCTTACGGTGAGGGGGAAAAAATATTCTTAAAGTTACTTTCATTAGTGAAATTAATCTAGCCATTTTTTTTTACCGCGAGTCGACGTACTGAGGTTCCCTGTGGCCTCCTTGGAGAGTCGCGGAAATTCCCAGCGTCCGTCCATGAACAATTAACACAGGAAACAGGAAAAGAAACCTTCAGCCATTCCGGGATTCCCTCCCCTCTCCTCCTCTCCTGAAGAAGCAGCAGGCCGACCTTACCTTTGACATAGACGTAGATGGAGGCGATGTCGGGGCTCTGAGGATCGGGAGTGGCGGGGCGGTCGGAGGTGTTGAAGAGGCACATGTAGTAGCCCACCTCCGTGTAGTTCATGTTGCTCATCTGAGGAAAGGGAGCGGGGGAGGCGTGAGAGGGCGGGCATGAGCTAAACAAGGGACGATGTAAATGGGCAGGGATACTTTCCTGCTGTTAAGTTGGTTCAGGTTTATACAGATTGCATTTTGCAAGGGAAACAGAATACCACTTCTCTCTCCATTTATCTATCTACACTTCTGCCTGCTTGTCTGTTTGCATCTCTCTCGAAAATCAAACACAAGCTTCCACCTTTTCCTCCCCCCCACTCCTCCCATCCGCACTTTTTCTCCTTCCTAATTCCTCTGATCCTTACCACCAAGATGGCGACGTGGGGCATGGGGTGGCCGACGTCGTAGACCTCTTCATAAGTATCCTGAAAAAAACAAAAGTTAAAGAAGTGACAGTGATGACAATAATAACGACACAGATAGTAGCTACAGCAATAAGAGCAATCACGGTAACAAATAGCAATGGTGATGATGATGATGAGGATGATGATGGCAATGATGATAATAATGATGATAATAACAATATTAATAGTGATAATAATCCTAACAACAATAATAAGCAAGATAACAATAGCAATGATAACCATAACAAAAAAAAAAAAAAATAATGATAATGGCAACAATATCAAAAATAAATAAGAAATAATATTGCCAATAGTGAAAATCTAATAACATTATATTCAGACAAATTAATGAAAAAATAAAAAAAATAAAAGAGAAAGTGTCAGAATTATATATATAAAAATAGAATGTGGATTTGATGAAACCAAACGAAGGTGAATTGAAAGGAACCTCAGCAAGATCATAATGACAAAAGGTATCGGATAGTCATGATACAAATATAAGGAGAATGATTATGACTGCAAATAATAACAATAGTGATGAGGATCAACAGCAGTAATGCTGAAGATGAGGGTAATGATGAAAGTTCTAATAACAATGATGATAATAGCAATGATAATAATAATAGAAATAATAAAGAATAATGAACAAAGGCTACAATGGTGACGTTTTAGACGGATCCCGCTCCCAGCCTCGATCCCGGGAGGGATTCGACGGCAGTCTCAGGTGACCCGCCCTCCTGCCTCCAGCAGCTACCGCGGTGCCATTGCAGCCGGAATGATAATCAAGTGATAATGATAATAATAACAATAATAATAATAAATATAATAATGAAAATAGCAGTAGTCAAATATCTATGATAATAATACTAATACTACCATTATCATTATCATTGTTACCGGTGTTACTGTTGTTTCTGTTAATATAACAGCATTGGAATTAATAATAATAAAAAAAAAATGCACGTTATGATAGCAATAACGATTGCAATGATGGCAGTAATACTACCAAATGCATCAACATGTGAAAATGCAGCTATTCTGAGAGAGGATTTAGAGCTCGCGATAGAACAAGAAAAATTAAATACTCACATAATGAATTTTGTGTCTGTCGGCAAACCAAGCAACCGGCTCGTCTCCTCGACAGGTAAGGTTCAACATTTCACCTTTCTCCACGACAATTTCATCCTTCTCGTGCATGATTTGCGGTTTATGAGATGCGGTGGCTGCTGTGCAGAGAGAAGAGATTTCAGAATATTTCCTGTGGTCTTCGAAAGGTCAGTTATCATTATGATGAATTTAGAAGAAAATGAATAAGAATCATCATAACACATCATGATGATGATGATCATAATTACAGCATACTATGGTGAAAGCGAAAAGATGAGGTGCACTGTAACAGCAATAGTGACAGCAATAGCAATAATAGTGGTAAGGAAGACTCATAATAAAATAAACTTCTGGTACGCCAGTAATATGTAATCACATTGAAAACCATTTAGGAATGCATGCCATAGAATACAGTTATCGTGTGTATATCCGTCTGTCTGAGATGGCGTCGCCCTCGGATTAGGG